GATCATATTTGTATCAACAAAAAATTCCGAGAGACAATGTGGGACACAAGATCCAGGAGAGGAGCTGACATAGCTTCAGATGAACACCTAGTTGTGGCCAAGATGTGTCTGAAGCTAAAGGATAATTGGACAATTGCGGAAACAGCACTAAAAAAGTTCAACACAACCTTCCTTCGAGATACTGACAAACAACGAATTCAAGATAACTTTCAACAAGAGCTTTACATGACCTACTCAAAGCATTGACTTTGAAGTGTCAGATTATACTGCATAGCAGCAAGTATCTTCAAAAGGAATGTATCTTAACGGAAACCAATATCACGATTCAAGAAAGGAAGAACGAGAAGACAGCAATTAACAGCAGCCAAACAAGAACAGAGAAAGTCAAGGCACAAGCTGAATAAACAGAAGCAAACAAGCAAGCGAAGAAGAGCATTAGAGCTGACAAGCAGAAACACATCGAAGAACTAGTAATGACAGAGGGAAAAGCTGCAAGAGAAGGAAATATGAAACGTTTATATAAAACAATGAAGAGGCTCACAGAGAAATATTGTAAACCAGAGAGATTATTCAAAGACAAAGAAGGCAAGCCAATCACTGAAATTTAAGAACAACCGGACAATTGCGTAGAGGACTTTGAAGAACTCTTGAACAGACCAGTCTCACTGAACCCACTGGACATTGAAGCAGCACACACAGACATTCCTATAGATATCACTCCACCGACGATGGATGGCTATTAGACAAATGAAGAGTGGGAAAGCAGCAACCTGACTAAACCAGCTGGAACACTGAAATCAGATGCACTACTATCGGTACTAGGAAAAGCTCTCAACAGTGTTGTTGAGCCAGATGAAAGGTTCAGTAGACGCCCAACTTCGAGATCAACAGACCGGATTCACTAAGGATCGGTTGTGTACAGACCGAATCGCAACACTACGGATCATCGTTGAACAATCAATTGAATGGAATTCGTCACTATACACCAACTTCGTTGACTTTGAGAAAGTATTTGACAGTGTGGATAGAGGAACCTTCTCTAACACTATGGTGTACCTGAGAAAACCGTCAACATCATGAGAAATTCATACGACGGACTACACTGCAAAGTCGTGCATGGAGGACAGCTGACAGACTCATTCCAAGTGAAAATCGGTGTTAGACAAGGCTGCTCACTCTCTCTCTCTCTCTTTTCCTTTCATCTGGTGGTCGATTGGATTATGAAGACCTCCGCATCTCAGGGAAAGCACGGAATACAATGGAGAGCTTGGATGTGGCTACATGATTTGTTCTTTGCAGATGACCTAGCTCTTCTATCCCATACACACCAACAAATGCAGATGAAGACAACTAGTATAGCAGCAGCCTCTGAATCCTTAAACCTTAACATACATAAGGGAAAAAACCAAGATCCCCAAATACAACACGGAGAACACCAACCTAGTCACACTTGATGGAGCTCTGGAAGAGGTGAAGACGTTCGTGTTACTGGGCAGTTTCATTGGTAAACAAGGAGGATCTGATACAGAAGTAAATGAGAGGACTGACGAAACAAGAGCAGAATTCCTACAGTTGAAGAACATATGTAACTCGAAACAATTGGCAGCTAACAACAAAGTCAGAATCTTCAATACGAACGTCAAGATAGTTCAACTGTACGGAGCTGAAACTTGGAGAAATACTACAGCCATCATCAACAAAGTACAAGTATTTGTAAACAATTGTCTACGCAAGATACTCAATGTTCGTTGGCCGGATGCCATCAGCAACAGCCGCTGTGAGAGAGAGAAAGAGAGCAAACCAGCATTCAGCTAAAGTGGAAATCAGTTAAACACACTTGTAGCGGATAGGTGACACACTGCGGAAATCACCAAACTGCATCACAAGGCAAGCCCTAACTTGGAATTCTAAAGGGAAACGAAAAAGCTGAAGACTGGAGAACATATTGGGCTGAGAACTGGAAGCAGACATCCGAAGGATGAATAGCAACTGGAAATAACTGGAAAGTATTTCCCAGGACAGAGTAAGATAGAGAATGCTGGTATGCAGCCTATGCACCTCTACGAGGGGTAACAGGCGTACATTAGTAAGTACAACTCTTAATTATTCTGTCCTTAATAGCTACCAAGTAGACAATTATTGTCACTTTACAACTTTTTCGCCAGCCGATTATTACATAAATTCCTTTTAATATATGATTCTTAATTCTTGACAATACACCACGTCAGGTATTTTAAACATTTAGCACCATTCTATATTACTATAAAATACTGTTTTAGCAAATAAAACTATACTGTGCAGCTTAAGTAAGTGAAATCGTTAAAAAGAAAATTCTACTCGCTGAATTGTCTTCTTTGTTCTTCAATGACACAATGTGTCTCTCTCGTTATTGTTAAAAGTTGTTTTCAGTCAATAAATCATCATACTTTTCTTTCGAAAGTGGGTTAAAAAATATTTCTTAATGTTTAAAAGAGATCACTGTCTATTCTATACTCAACACAGAATCATTTCTAACTGACACAAAAAAAAACGAAATAATACTAACTATTCCATTTAATTTTGTGATGGAAATTGAGGAACAGTGTATCTGTCTGCATCACACAATCACAGAAAGTCAGATATTATTGCAATGGTTCGACATATTATTTTGAACCAGGAAGATGAAATCAGTCAGTCAGTCATAATCACTGCAAAGCCTGGAGCAAATATTCACCAACATAAGTTGCCACACAGTGTCAGCATAACGACAAAGATGGAGACAGAAATTAAAGGTGGATGTGAAGAAATAATGGAACTAAAGACCTAAAGAAGGATAAAGAGGGGATGTACCTGGACAATTGTAAAGGACTCCAATCCATGCTACCCAATGTCTTCAACCAGTGCTCGTAACAAGAGTTAGTTCGTGAGTAATGTCGTGTACCTGTTCATGCAGAAATATATTATTATTTATTGTATTTTGGCTTCAAGATCGATCTGTAAAAGCGTACTGGAGCCACGAACTTTGAACTTTTTCTCCCTTAATTTTAAGCTGCCGTCAAAATCCTTTATCGATACTTTCGAACCGTATTTAGGTTCTCCTATTGTTTGTTGTAAGCGTTCTGTGTTTTTCTTGAATCAGAATCTCTTTTTCGGAAGTTTGCTTTGCATGAGGTACATTGTGTAAGATCGCATTCCGAATTGTATCCCACACTATCTTCCGGCGGTTATCCATCGTAGGCCTCTACTACTCTGTTGGTCGTGGAGATTGTTGAAAATGGTCCATTATTATGGTGAAGTCTTCCCTAGAGTAGCTGGATTAGGGAGCATTTACGTTTTTGATCACTCTGAATATAATCGTCCTTGTTCACTACTCCTAATTGGTGATTTCACATGAACACTGAACAGAAGCTGACCTAACCCTATATTATCATGTCACCCATATGTTCAGTCAATCCTGAACTATTAAAGGGCATGATAAGTCGTTAATGAAACCTCCTTGCAGATGTGGAAACTTGCTTTCTGGTCGAAATCCAGATGTAGTGTTTACTATAGAACTTGGATTATCTTATATTTCTAGGTGTTAAAAAACACCAATACGACCATATCATACTTGGTCGTCCGTTTTTAGGGCTTTGAAGTGGCTATTATTGTTTACTTAAATTCCTGGTATTATTTTATTTACTCTCTCGAATAGGAAAAGTGTCATATGTTGCATGCTAAGTTGTCGTCCATGACATCGGCGGATAGCTAAGCCTAAGCTGAAATCGTAGTCGTCAAATTTAACTGAGAGTACATGTTTCCAATTTCTCTTGATTTACTCCTTTTTTCCTTGACGTTGCAATGTAGGAAATTATGTGTGTTTGAAAAAGAGAACTCTGGGTTTAAAATGATCTGTTACACGATCGGAATAAAAACTGTTCAACCACTAGTCTTACTTCTTGAATGGGCAAAACGAGGGGGATATCTACCTGCACAAAACCTCTACAGGATTACATGCATTCAAGGTTACAAAAAGATCATTCTTTAAAGTGGGCTGGAAAGTTGTTTAGAAAATTCACGTCTCCGTTTTCTGCCAGTACAGCGTGCCTCGTTAGCGGCGTCTCAGCCTCAGTGTTCTACATCATGGCATGCTGACCAAAGTCAGCCGACAGTAACGTGTACTCCATTCGGCATTTTAAAGTTGTCTTCACGATCAAAGTCGGGTCTTTTGTGGCCCGTAGTTCTCGACTCCATTTAGAGCGTACGAATGTTTGTATTAACCTTTTATCGCATATCATCGTCGACTTGAATCGCGTTGGTCAATAACGGAATTAAATAAGTCGAATAACGAGAATTGACTTGTGAATACATATATTTTGTACATGAAGCGAATGAAACAGAGCAAAGCAAAATGACACGCAGGGAAGATGGCTGGGAAGCCAACTCCATTTTAGTCAAGCGTTACTCAATATTTATAGTCAGACAAAATAAAGCTACAGACATGCAGTGAGTCATGGGATATAAAGTGTACACACATATAAGCTCATATAAAAACAGTCAAGACTGATAAGCGAATAATTGACAAGGTCAGCATATGACTCAAGTAGAATGAATAGAATGGAATGTCCGAAAGCTAGAATAAGATACATGGGCTTAAAATAATGACTGACACTACAGGTCCCACAACATCTGATGTGTCTAGGAAGGTCACTCCTAGAATTGTACTAGTAGGTTTCAAGTCTTCTTTTCATTCGGAAACCCAAAAATACGTGAAATGCCTAATTTTCAGGTTTTCTAGTTCCATAAAGGCATGCATAGGATAGGAAAATGACTGACTGAGAGATCAGAATGTTTTTTTGGATAGATTTTTGTCGACCATTCAAGGTCGTCCGTTAGTACTTTTCTAAAAAAGCTTCAACATATGCTTCAGTTCTCCTCCAATAGCTTGTATCGTCCTTTTGGAATTAGGACTGTCTTCGTTTATACCTGTTAGAGGCTGTTACATACGTAGATACTTTTTGATTCGGCTATATCTCAATTCAATGGTCCTGAAGCCTCATGATAAAAGTGAAATCGATAATGAACGATTATTATCAGTTGCGTCCTGTATAATTAGAGGTAAGTCTATAAGAGGAGCATAAAACTAGAAACCATACATCTATAACGGATATTGTGAGCGATTTTATCTGTTTGATGCATATTATTGGATTATTTTCGTAAAGTAAGTAGGTTAATCTACTTATGTGATCTCGTCGTTCAGTTACTATATTTATCCACGTTTATTTAACTATAAGTCATACTAATACTTGTCGGAATGATAATCCATCTTTAAGTAATTTTCTTTGGTAAATCCATTCACTGGCATGATACGATCACCAATAATGTCAAGCATATACCTTATGATCAATGGTTTAGTACATTGTTCAGTCGCTTGTAGGCCTTAGATTAAACATCAGTAAATATCAATAATTGGTGTACGGTACTTGAGTGGGAACTCACGTATCTTTTGTCAAGTCTTAACTCGTCTTTATACGTCGTTTTCCTAACAAATAACGTGTATAAAGAAGTTTAGACTTGTACTTATCCCTTTATGGGATTATTCTTTTTCAGTATCTCAATGCAAAGACATTGGAGAAGATTGATCACTGTAATTAGCCAGCATTTCTGAAAGATTGCCTATTAACTTTAATGTGGTTATGGGCTCACTTAAACTTTAATTAGATATGAAAGTACCTAAATAGCTATGTGATCCCGGAATCAGTCAGTCAGCTACAACATATGACCAGGCACATATGCTTATTAGTCCAATTTGCCACACTTCATTAGCACAACAAGATGAACACCAAATTCATAGTAGTTACTTCAATGGTAGTAATATATAAAAGAGTGTGAGTATAAGGATATAAAACAGGAAGGAAGAATTAGTTCGTAGAAAGAAAGGCATAAAGTTATTCTAGCCTCACGGTTTGGGGCAAGACAAAGAATGTATACACCGACGCCATTGTGACCGATTCTGAGCCATGTCACCCAGAGTCTCCAACCATTGGTTACGATATTCACGTGAATCCCAATCAAGTAGTCTGCATCTATCAACATGGTCTAGAATAGCTTACAATCTTTAGTTAAGTACCAAATGACTTCATCGTCAGTGAAGATATATGGGTGCTTTATAATTCGAATTTACTAGCTTGATATATTTTGAAGTTGTGTTATATTGGTGGGCCATTACCATATATGTATTCAGTCATATAAATACGTAGAACATAATTGTATGCTGTTCTGTAAGTTCACTCTGCACCAGCTACATAGGTGTGGTAAATTATTCCAGTTTGAATTTTTGTAACAGGATTTTTAACAGTGATCAACGTTAATGTGTAGAACCGATGATAAATAGGGAACATTTCATGATTACAAAAATTGTGATGCAGCTTTTATGATGAAGTGTTGAGAGTGGTAATTGTAAATTAGGTAACCGCACGCTTGTCCGTATTAGAACAAGGTATTAATGTATGGTCGATTAGTAAGATTTCCTCCCATGTATTTTAAAAATTTTCAATACATCGTAAGTTTCTCATTTCCGATTCTTGAAGAGTACTATATTTACCTATTGGTATATCTAAAGCATTTTGTCTGGTTGTTAAGCATACCTTGAAGTTAAAGACCGAATTTATCCTGCCGTGTTATTCACAAACTATTATTCTATTGACGGGGACGTAATCATTATTGCCTCCCGCTGTCAACTGTGTTATTCGATACTTCTTATATTTACATTATTACATGATTTTCCTTCTCTATTTTGTGCCAAAGACTGACATGTCATTTTATATAGTCCAGTTCTAGCTACATCATTACTTCAAGCGTAATTTGTGAAAAAAGCAATAAATATACAAAATTTAATTAGGTGAATAAAATGTACAGACAAATAGCTTTCAAGCTAACTATAAATAAAGAGTACTTGCAACCGGGCCATATTATTAGCCAGTGCAGTTCGTGGCCTGCATCCAAGTATCTTGTGAGTGAGTTAATTAAAATAAAAACAGAATAGAATGCACAAATCAAATCAATAAAACTAGAGCAGCACTAGAGAAAAATATTTTTTGCTTAGCAGATGATCAGTGTTAATTTAATCAACATACGTAACACTAAGTTGACTGTCAATCAATATTCTGAAATAATCACAACATAAGAACACTATGGTTGTCTGAACAACCACTGTACGAGAGCCGCAGATAAAGGTTCAGGGTTAAAACTTTGAAGTAGGGTTTACCTAATTTAAAAGATTTTATAAAACGTCTGAAAGAAATTGTAGACTTTGTCAACTACGACTGTTAAACAACAAATTTATTCGTCACATTACGTATTCAAAGACCTGTCAAAATGGAAGGTTATTCATGGCATTTTTGACACTTCAAATCCATCCTAAACAGTGTTATTTATTGTCATAATATTGATATTGGGTTCTCTATACGACAATTGTTTATGATCAGAACCCAAGTACTCTTTATTTATAGTTAGCTTGAAAGCTATTTGTCTGTACATTTTATTCACCTAATTAAATTTTGTATATTTATTGCTTTTTTCACAAATTACGCTTGAAGTAATGATGTAGCTAGAACTGGACTATATAAAATGACATGTCAGTCTTTGGCACAAAATAGAGAAGGAAAATCATGTAATAATGTAAATATAAGAAGTATCGAATAACACAGTTGACAGCGGGAGGCAATAATGATTACGTCCCCGTCAATAGAATAATAGTTTGTGAATAACACGGCAGGATAAATTCGGTCTTTAACTTCAAGGTATGCTTAACAACCAGACAAAATGCTTTAGATATACCAATAGGTAAATATAGTACTCTTCAAGAATCGGAAATGAGAAACTTACGATGTATTGAAAATTTTTAAAATACATGGGAGGAAATCTTACTAATCGACCATACATTAATACCTTGTTCTAGTACGGACAAGCGTCCAGATTTTCTGGTTTGTCAGTATTCCTTGCCAAACAGTAAATTTTGTAGTGGTTTCTTTTAGGCGTGCTCGCCTGTCGAGTGCTCGAAATTTCGGTGTTACTTTAGTATTGTCAACAGATGTAGTCTATTTGTTACATTTAGATGGACTATCGCCAGATGATAGGTGTTTTCCGGATAACTATTTTTCGGATCATTCTTAATCACAAGAGGTCGCACAGTTGATACTAAAGTTTTTTTCACCTAGATTCTATTTGATCATGCTGGAACAACTGGCGATTCCATCCGCTGAATACTGTATTTTTAAGACAATCAACTCACTATTGTAGATTAAGGATTCATTTGATTGAATATTATGGCAGATTTAACTTGTCCTACTGTAATAGATGCACATATCAAAATTGATTTCGTTCGTGTTTTAGAATCCCATTTAAAATATGTCACACTGCTTAACAAGTAGGTAAGATGGAAAACTTGAGAAAAGTCAGTGATGTAAATTACAACAGACGAGAGAATTAGGCTAGCCATCAGACTTGTCGTGGGAATGATTGGGACCAGTTATTATTTATTTGTTTATTTGAACACGTAAATATTAGTGCAAAGGAGCACCGAATACATAGGCGCCACACAAATCACTTAACTTGTGCGTAAGCTGTGATACTGCAGGGTGCCCAGACCGAAGCAGGTGGTTTTCTTAGGGGGTCACACTCCAAGCCTTCGACCTAAAGGTCTGATCCATAGGGCAGTGAAGCGACGTCAGGAGATGCAGTCACATGGTAGTCGATGGCCAATAATTGGTTCATACGCCATTTGTTCCCTTGGGATCTTGGAGCCCATGTGAACCATTGGTTTGGAATCAGGGTTTTCTAACTCCTCTAGGTGAACCCTCTTTATCCATCAACTCGGCTTATTTTCTGGACATTCGCTTCTCATCCTCTCAATTTCGTAAACAACACCCTCGTCGCGAGAAGGCAGTGAGTAGGACTTATCTGGCAGTTGTTGTGTGCACATGGCCATGTGAGAGCATTTCGAGATGAAGAGCGGACTCGCCTCACCTTCGGCCGTACCAGCGCACTTGGGAAATTGTTATAAATGCGAAAGTAATTAGCGAAAGCATTGAATTGATGGCCTAGTAAACGCCACTGTGAATACGTAATAAACTTTAGGTAAAGTACTTTTATTTAAAGAACACAATGAAACTAATGTTATTAAGTGCGAGAAAACAATGCAACTCAGTGCACTTAAAATACTTTTGTTTGCGTTTATATCCAGTAAGGGATAAACTGTTATCGTTTAGTATTTGTTTAATATTTAAATTTAAAGATTACGGAAACGAGCGCTCTTTATCAATCTCCAGAACACATATATTCTCACAGGAGTATACTTTTTCACTACTATGTTTTTAAGTACCATTTAACAACTCATAGAAATATGTGCTCGGTTAAAAAAATATAGCTTACTTTCGATTGTTTTTAAATAATATTTACTTCATGAACGGTTAAGTTTAGACGAGTAATCTTTGCGGTTGTCTCGTGTTTAGAACATGAAAATGTTATTAATGGATTTTTGCTTCACGTTATGGTAGGTAATCATGCAATCATCAAATTTTAAATTTGATTAACATTGTGAATGGTGATTGTTTGATTGTGGCAATAAAAGCATTGCATTATGTTTCAAAATTTTGTTTGTGTTAAACTTTTTAACACAATAATTAAACGCTATTATGAACCTCTACGTTAGTCAGAGTCTGTTGAATTAGAAACGTCATACACAGTTCGGTCATATTAACAGAATATCTTAACTACTAATGCCTGTCTTTGAAGAGTTCACATAGGGTGTTATTTAACTATTATCATTTTCTTAGCTTGTTTGCCTCAAATGAGGCCCAATAATATACACAACCTTATGTATCTTTATACGTCAATAAAGTTTCTAAACGTCGAGGATAGAAAACTCAAATATATATATATATATATATATATATATATATATATATATATATGCTTCGAATTCCGAACGCGTTTTCTTACTTTTATATGTCATTCGATTTCCAGCTGTCATATCTCTTTATTTTTCCTTCTACATACTTCTTAAAATGGCGTCGACATTTTTAATGAGTCAATGACCAGAGTTCTATTTTTCTTTACTCCTGTAATATGTGTTGATATTTTAGAGTGATTGGCAGACAATCTGAGCTTTATGATAGGTAGTGAGTTGCTTACTATGTATAGGAAATATATCGGATACCTCTGTTTCTACATTTCTGATGACAATGAAACATATGAAGTCAGCAAACCACAAATAAGGTCACCAGAACAAACTGATCCAAGAGCCATGGAATGGTTTAAAGCTCATATCAGTATGAAATAGAATCTGATGAAGTTTTGGAAAAAGACAATAAACGCTTCGCAACTAAATCATCTTTCTTAGTGAACTTGATAATGCTAAAATCTCGCAAATTTCATGCGCGACTTAGGTTGACAAACGATAGTCCAGCCTTCTGTGTCCTTGCCAAAATCTTGGGGATGATCAGGTTACCGCTAGTTATTGAATTCAACATTTAGAAAACGTTTGGGTTCACAGCAAACTAAACATTTTGTTTTATTAAAAATATGTATAGTATTCTAATTATAGTATGAATTAGGAATCCCAGGATTAACGCAATTGAATTAAGAAGACACAGGCACAACGAATGTACTGTATTTAGAATTCGAAATCGAGCATTCAACAAGTACAAAAGAATCATTAGTTAATTCAAACACCACATCCGCCACAGCTTAAATAGAAGTATAAGTGTTTGTAATCAGTTGTACGTCTTCTTGTTAAGTTCATCCTGAGTCTGTCCGACATTGTATAAGATAAAAACTTTGTAGTATCTAGAAAGTGCTCATTAGTATTGGAATTAACAAACGAAATCGGAACAGACTCACCTGGAATTGTATACAACCAGCATGTCGGTTTTGTAATGAAATCATTAATATCTAGAATTCGAACCATAGATTTTTCAACACTATCCCCCCCCCACGAAATAATGTTGGATCTTTATACTCCCAAGTTATGAATAATGTGGCTTCATTTAAAACATATATCTCACATTGTTTAGAGTAAACATTAGAACTGTTTTTGTGATAAGAGTAAACAGCAGTTGATATGAAATCATCCGAAATATAATAAAACTCGAGGTCACTTAGTACTCGTGCTTCGCATTGGGCAGGTTTTTCACGAAGATCAAATACATTATGAGGATAGGTAATATATGATATGACATCAGGATTTGATTCTTCTGAAATATTCTCATGAAATTCATCAGGACTGTCGTTGCAGAGCGTAGGATCGTTAGAGAAATCAGCATCTATCCAAACCACATCAGGTTTTCGATCATGATTAGGTTCATTTAACATATTTTCCTCAGAATTGCAAGTAATTTCATTAGAAATATGTGAATCATTAGGAAAAGTCATACTTGGTACAATAGCATGAGAATTCTGATAAATCGGTTGATTAGGAAATGTTGTCTCACAAGAATTCTGGAGTTCATTTAACTCTGAACTGCCATATGACTCTGCACTGTCTTTTGAAATCGTTGATAAAGATAAATGATCATCATGAATACTCGACTCAGTAGAATCACAATTACAAGACTTAATATTAATTGCAGTAAGATGAACATTAGCATTACAAACTGACTGAACTTGTCCAATATCACGACATTTGAAGCATTTAGAATTATGAAATTTACATGAATTACAAGAGTGGAACTTGCAACAGGACAAACACTGATCAAACTTGTCCCCATCCTCGTGAACTGCATCCCAATTCAATGAATTGTCTGCATAACCTTGAGTATGCACTACGTTGAGATGACGTAGTAATGTAGTGGACTTTTTTATATCCTCATGAATCATTTTACGAAATCTTCCTCCTTTACGACATTTGAAATTTGTATACTGAGCATAGTCTAGCAGTAGATCCTTGAGAGCTGTATAAGAAAGCGAAATGGGTTTTTCCGGCATAGCCAGAGTTCTTAATAAGCTGTATGCTTCTTTTCCAATGAATGTGAGGAAGTGTGCCACAATATTAACATCCTCATCATCTTCCTTGGTCATAGCCCAGATTTCGAACCTTTCAAAGTAATCTTCAAAAGCTTCTGAAGTTGAATGAATATCTAACTTTTCCATTGCAGGCTCCATCGCGACGCCAATATAGTATTCTAATTATAGTATGAATTAGGAATCCCAGGATTAACGCAATTGAATTAAGAAGACACAGGCACAACGAATGTACTGTATTTAGAATTCGAAATCGAGCATTCAACAAGTACAAAAGAATCATTAGTTAATTCAAACACCACAATATGCTAAATAAACAAAATTTCCTCAAATAATTCTACTTACAGGATGTTAAAGCTTTTATGTCTTTTTAACTTCTTTGTTTACCATTTTAATCAGCCGTAAAGGAAATACGAACAAGCAAAATTTTTTGTTTCTTAACAGAACCAATGGTTTGGATTGGTCTTCTTTTTAAAGTCGTCCAGATAAAGGTTCTGACATTGTTATGATGAATATAAATACCTATATTTCAAAGGTATCCTATTTTCTCTCTGATACCTGCAAAAGTTTTTGTATCGCTTTAAGTTGTCACATCATCAGTTAGAATTAATAATCTGATGTTTAGTTTACATCATCTCCAAAAACTTATTTTCTGTTATGTTTCTGTTTCTTTTAGATCGTCTTTATTTCCTATCTTGCAAAACTCCACCAAGAAGTAATTCTTCCATTCACTTCTTTTCCATTGATGAAGAATTATGCTATGAAAAGTATGTTGTAGTTTAAGTTAATCATATTACTATTATCACTTATTATTATTATCATCCATTTTTGTCAGTTTTTATGCAGATTTCGGTCCACTGAGTCTTGGTCAACTATACAAATACTGTAATAAACTGAACAAAAAGCTCAAGGTAACAATTATTGAAAAGCTTTCATTATTCTCGTCTTTTCTTTATATTAGTCTGGTAGTTTAAAAGAAAAGAAAATTGCACACTTTACATCACATGACTCACGTAAACGAGCGAATGCTGCATTTCTCATTGGAAGTTATCAGGTACACATTGAAATTCGAAAAAAGATATATATATATATATTTGTATATAACTTACTAGATCATATATTTGGGACGCACACCAGAAGAAGCGTATAAAAATTTAACTTTAAATGATAATCGACCATTTCTCCCTTTTCGGTAAGTTTATAAAAGAGGTGGATTTTGCACAGTATGATGGGTACTACGAATATATATATGAAAACTTAGGACTAAGTATTGCGGTTAGAAAATTGAAGTTAGAGATAGGAATTAAGGTTGATATTTAAGGTTAGAGTTAGAACGGTGGAATACATTGTAGCCATGTAGATTCATGCTTCTAAAAATAGTTTTTGAATCCAGTCGTGAAATGTGCATTTATATTTGCTTGTGTACATAGCTGTAAAGTTTATCAACGTCAATTAACACATAGACACACCAAATTACATAAGTTTTACAAGTTATCGGTATTTAACAGATGGGTCAATTCAGTAAGATTAACGTGAATTCGTGTGCTGTTACTGCCCGATGTGCAATGTTTTATGGTGTAGAAGTAGGTTGGGAGAAAGCTAAGGGCGGCCAGACCAAAATATGGCACAAATCCATGAAGTCACTGACAAGTAGACTGAACCATGTTGGTAGGTGTAGACTACCCGGTTGGGATCCGTGAGATGATAGCAACAGATGGTTACAGACCTTGAATGACATGGTTCAAAATCGTTTGCAATGGCGCAGGTGCATCTTCTCTTTGTGTTCTCCCAAATTCTAATCTCCTGATTTTTTCATGTCCTTTTTTCCTCTTTCCAAATTTATTTCACTAGATTATACTCCTTGAATATCATATTTAAACATTAATGTTTTCGATTACTGCTTATACTCTTACTACCTCTACCACTATGGGATTTGGATAGAAAATTGTATCACTGTGCTAATGTGGTATGGCAACTCGGACTGATGTACATACGTACAAAGTTCTACATTGTTACTGACTGACTGAACGTGAATTCGTCATTTAATGATTGAAAGTTAATAATTCAGAACAATAAGCACTGCACCTAAAATGAATTTTAACTAAACTTCTAAAACACTTGTGAGATTTGTGATCATTAGGATTACTTAGAGGGAACATTCATGATTTGTAGTGCTTACATTTTATACGGTCAGTTCGTTGGCTATAAAATAGTTCTTTCGTGTTGTCGAGGCGTGTACGCTTAGACTTGTTAACTAATCTTAACATTACACTGTTTTGTTTATGGCTTTTTGTCTGATAAAAAGATGCTTATTTTCTTACTACTAAGTCAGTTGAACGTAGAAAGATGATCAGATTGATATCTAGTTAGGAATTAAGCGTGACATTTTATTTAGTTGTATGTTGAATATTTAGTTCAGAAACTGATGACTTAAGATTAATAACCGAGTATATTTTATCTTCATACATTAATTAATCAATTACATTCAAATGATCACCGATTAAACACTTGAGTACTGAATACAGGCATTGATTTAAATTCTCAGGGTAATTTTGATAAATAATAAATGCTAAAAATTGAGAAAAAACGATAATAAACTGGAAGTTCTTTCTGAATTGAGATCAATTTTTTCTAAAAAAATAGTTTTTTACAGACTCATTTCTTTAAATTAGATGTCATTTAGATTTTTGAAACATGGTATGCAGCTAATGTGTTAAATGTTTCTCCTTGAAAATTTTACCGTATATTTCACACACGATACATGACTAAAACGTATGATATTAATAAGAATTTTTTGTTGTTGAAAAAACTGTATTATATATGTCATTTATCAAATATAAAGTTGTAGATTGTCATAAAGAAAGATGATCAGTCTGAAAAAATTATCACAACCGGGTATACTAATATTGAAAAATGAAAAATTGACTTAGTTTCACTTCAAACTGGTGTTACCGTCATATGAACAGCTAAAAAATAAGTGCATTTGTAAAAAAAGTACAAAATTACCCGGTGATTATTATTGTGCTAGCATCGCACACATTCATATATATATATATATATATATATATATATATATATATATATATATATATAGTAGTCCTCCCGGTGTAACTCTAGCTGTGAAATATGGTCTATGAAACTAAAAGTCATGGGTAGGACATATAGTTTTCATAGTAGGTGTCTTCGAACATATCGCTCGCCTATCGTTAAATGTTGATGTTAAACTCGGTATTGCACAGTGTTGGGAAATCGGTTGGTTAGGTTGTATGTCTTTATCGATTGAGGTGGTTAAAACATGCTTTAAGTATGCCTAACCAGCCCTACCTCAACATGAGGTGTTTGTTGGTGTACGAGCAAATTGAAAGATAGCCCACAGCGACCAAACAAGTACTTTTCATCAGTCTTTGGAGTCACCAACTATTGGTCTTGGTCATGTTGGTAGTACAAAATATCTGGTTGAGGTCCATGTGGTAATCATTACGAGTAGTGGTTGAAGACATTGGGTAGCATGGATTGGAGTCCTTTACAATTGTCCAGGTACATCCCCTCTTTATCCTTCTTTAGGTCTTTAGTTCCATTATTTCTTCACATCCACCTTTAATTTCTGTCTCCATCTTTGTCGTTATGCTGACACTGTGTGGCAACTTATGTTGGTGAATATTTGCTCCAGGCTTTGCAGTGATTATGACTGACTGACTGATTTCATCTTCCTGGTTCAAAATAATATGTCGAACCATTGCAATAATATCTGACTTTCTGTGATTGTGTGATGCAGACAGATACACTGTTCCTCAATTTCCATCACAAAATTAAATGGAATAGTTAGTATTATTTCGTTTTTTTTTGTGTCAGTTAGAAATGATTCTGTGTTGAGTATAGAATAGACAGTGATCTCTTTTAAACATTAAGAAATATTTTTTAACCCACTTTCGAAAGAAAAGTATGATGATTTATTGACTGAAAACAACTTTTAACAATAACGAGAGAGACACATTGTGTCATTGAAGAACAAAGAAGACAATTCAGCGAGTAGAATTTTCTTTTTAACGATTTCACTTACTTAAGCTGCACAGTATAGTTTTATTTGCTAAAACAGTATTTTATAGTAATATAGAATGGTGCTAAATGTTTAAAATACCTGACGTGGTGTATTGTCAAGAATTAAGAATCATATATTAAAAGGAATTTATGTAATAATCGGCTGGCGAAAAAGTTGTAAAGTGACAATAATTGTCTACTTGGTAGCTATTAAGGACAGAATAATTAGGAGTTGTACTTACTAATGTACGCCTGTTACCCCTCGTAGAGGTGCATAGGCTGCATACCAGCATTCTCTATCTTACTCTGTCCTGGGAAATACTTTCCAGTTATTTCCAGTTGCTATTCATCCTTCGGATGTCTGCTTCCAGTTCTCAGCCCAATATGTTCTCCAGTCTTCAGCTTTTTCGTTTCCCTTTAGAATTCCAAGTTAGGGCTTGCCTTGTGATGCAGTTTGGTGATTTCCGCAGTGTGTCACCTATCCGCTACAAGTGTGTTTAACTGATTTCCACTTTAGCTGAATGCTGGTTTGCTCTCTTTCTCTCTCTCACAGCGGCTGTTGCTGATGGCATCCGGCCAACGAACATTGAGTATCTTGCGTAGACAATTGTTTACAAATACTTGTACTTTGTTGATGATGGCTGTAGTATTTCTCCAAGTTTCAGCTCCGTACAGTTGAACTATCTTGACGTTCGTATTGAAGATTCTGACTTTGTTGTTAGCTGCCAATTGTTTCGAGTTACATATGTTCTTCAACTATAGGAATTCTGCTCTTGTTTCGTCAGTCCTCTCATTTACTTCTGTATCAGATCCTCCTTGTTTACCAATGAAACTGCCCAGTAACACGAACGTCTTCACCTCTTCCAGAGCTCCATCAAGTGTGACTAGGTTGGTGTTCTCCGTGTTGTATTTGGGGATCTTGGTTTTTTCCCTTATGTATGTTAAGGTTTAAGGATTCAGAGGCTGCTGCTATACTAGTTGTCTTCATCTGCATTTGTTGGTGTGTATGGGATAGAAGAGCTAGGTCATCTGCAAAGAACAAATCATGTAGCCACATCCAAGCTCTCCATTGTATTCCGTGCTTTCCCTGAGATGCGGAGGTCTTCATAATCCAATCGACCACCAGATGAAAGGAAAAGAGAGAGAGAGAGAGTGAGCAGCCTTGTCTAACACCGATTTTCACTTGGAATGAGTCTGTCAGCTGTCCTCCATGCACGACTTTGCAGTGTAGTCCGTCGTATGAATTTCTCATGATGTTGACGGTTTTCTCAGGTACACCATAGTGTTAGAGAAGGTTCCTCTATCCACACTGTCAAATACTTTCTCAAAGTCAACGAAGTTGGTGTATAGTGACGAATTCCATTCAATTGATTGTTCAACGATGATCCGTAGTGTTGCGATTCGGTCTGTACACAACCGATCCTTAGTGAATCCGGTCTGTTGATCTCGAAGTCGGGCGTCTACTGAACCTTTCATCTGGCTCAACAACACTGTTGAGAGCTTTTCCTAGTACCGATAGTAGTGCATCTGATTTCAGTGTTCCAGCTGGTTTAGTCAGGTTGCTGCTTTCCCACTCTTCATTTGTCTAATAGCCATCCATCGTCGGTGGAGTGATATCTATAGGAATGTCTGTGTGTGCTGCTTCAATGTCCAGTGGGTTCAGTGAGACTGGTCTGTTCAAGAGTTCTTCAAAGTCCTCTACGCAATTGTCCGGTTGTTCTTAAATTTCAGTGATTGGCTTGCCTTCTTTGTCTTTGAATAATCTCTCTGGTTTACAATATTTCTCTGTGAGCCTCTTCATTGTTTTATATAAACGTTTCATATTTCCTTCTCTTGCAGCTTTTCCCTCTGTCATTACTAGTTCTTCGATGTGTTTCTGCTTGTCAGCTCTAATGCTCTTCTTCGCTTGCTTGTTTGCTTCTGTTTATTCAGCTTGTGCCTTGACTTTCTCTGTTCTTGTTTGGCTGCTGTTAATTGCTGTCTTCTCGTTCTTCCTTCTTGAATCTTGACGACGGTTTCGATGGAGGCCCATTCTTCATGATGATGTTCCTTGGAGCCCAGAACGTCTTGACACGTTGAAGTTAGTGCCACTTTAATCCATTTCTAATTGTCGTCGACAGTGGTTTCTCCTGAGTAGATCTTGTAGGGTTTGGA